AAAGTAAGTTCCAGGCCAGCTGGGGCTACAGGGAGGCCCTGTCTCCAAAAAAAAATTAAAAAAGGGTGTGTGTGTGGAAAGATGGCTCAGTTAAGAGCACTGACTGCTCTTGCAGAGAACTTGGGTTCGATTCTCAGCACCCACATGACAGCTGACAACTGCCTGTAACTCCAGTTCCAAGAGATTCAGACACTCTCTTCTGACCTCTGTAGGTATTGCACAACACAGTACACTTACATACATGCAGGCAGTACATGCATACACATAAAATTATAATAATAAATAAAACATTAAAAAATAAAACTAGACTCCATCTTGTTCATTTTTCCTACAATGGTTCTGGGAATACGCCCAAGGCCTTGAGCATGTTAAACACATGCTATACCATAAGCTACAATTCCAGCCCTTTTGAGACAGTCTTGCTAAGTAGCTCAGGCTGCCTTTGAACTCAGGATCCTCCTACCTTAGCCTCCTATAGGTTGGGATTGCAGAGATGTGTCAACACACCTGGTCTGTCATTTTGAAGGGTGAATTGGCTGAGTGTGCGTGACTAAGAAAACTCCCAGATTCTCTAATTCAGGAGGCCAATGATCATTTACTGCAGCCCCATTAACTTATCCAGAAGGTTTCAAAACAAGTGATGCAAGATCAGACTACCTCTCTGCTAAGTTTCCTTTCCACCGTCCTTTGCCAGACTCATTTTAGGTCTACCCCTGGGCATGTGATTGAACTGCAATTCCTATTCTCAAATAAATGCTTCCTTTGCTTACATTGTAGCCTGCTGCTTTTTATGCCAAAAACTGCTCCAAAGACATTAAGAACACAAGATGGAAAGAAAGATAAAACTTTACTCCCCACTCTCCTCTACCTTTTGCCACCCTAGGTAACGACCTTAATTGGGTAGAATGGGAAGGCTGCTATGGTGCTGGCAAGTGACTGACATGAGAAGGGGTTTGAGAAGATGCACAAAGGTGCCACCTATATAAACTTAGGAAGCAAGTCATTTCCTTTATGTTGAGTTCTGTAATACCAGAGTATGAATATGTTTTCAATGTTTCCAAAAGTCCTGCCAGCATAAATGAGCCCTTACTTTACTTGGGAAAAGCAGAATGTTGATAATCAGACAGCTATTAAAATGGCAGCTCTTAAAATCTCTGACCATCCCATTTCTGAGGAAAATGGGCTCAGCAAGCCCAAGAGGTATTCTGACTTGAAGCCTTTAGCTAAATGGTAGGAAGAAGTAAATGTATAATTATGGCAGGAAAGACTAGTCCATTGCTTAAAGACTCAGGAAGCAGCCAGGTGTGGTGATGCATGCCTTTCATACCAGCATTTGGGAGGCAGAGGCAAGCCAGCCTGGTCTACATAGCAAGTTCTAGGTCAGCTGAGGCTACAGGGAGACCCTGTCTAAAAACAAAACAAAAGATTCAGGAAGCAGTCCTAAGCAGTAATCATAAATCACAGCTACATGCCTGGAATCCCAGCACCTGAAAGGTAGAAGGAGGAGGATCGGGAATTCAAAGCCAGCCTGGGCTACACAAGACCCTGTCTCAAAACACAAGATTCAAGAAGCTGACTCTTCTTTGTCTTTTTGAGACAGGGTCTTCCTTTAGACCAGCTGGCCTGGAACTCACTATGTAGACCAAGCTGGTCTCAAACTCACAAAGATTGACCTGCCTCTGCATCCACCTGCCTCTATCCTGGAAGAGATGGAGATTAAAGACTGCACCACCATGCCCGGCTGACTTTTCTATACACAAAGTCATAAAGATAATGGCTAGTATGTACTGAGTACCTTAATATATTAGGTACTACTCTCCAACTATGCTGAATAATTTATGGCATTATAACCCTATGAAGTAGGTACATGATATGAATAGAGAAGGGGAGAGTTAGTAACCGCTCAAGATCTCACAGGCAGTAGATGGGAAGCCAAGCTTCAAATCCAACACTCTGATCAGTTTGTACCCTTAACTGCTAGGCTCTCTTTAAGACTTTGAAGTGATACACATGACACCAGTGCCCTACAGAGTTTCTGAACCATTCTCCAAGCATAGTCTTTATTATGCTTTCAGACAATGTCAAGTTTCCATAGCTCTCTTTGAAGGTGAAATGGAAAGAGGGAATAATACAACTTGTAACTCAACATAATTATAACTATAGTCAGAATTTAAGTGCTTACTGTTAGGGTTCAGAGAGCCCCATCCCCTCACCAATAGGGCCTCATGGACCTCTCAAGCCCCTGAGAAAAGGGAACCTAGTTAATAAGCACCATGGTCTTTGAAGTCAAGAGAAGCAGACTTTTCTTCTGATTCTTGGCCAACACAGCGGGCTTCTCCTTTGATCTCTAAAGGGGGCAGGTTTTAACAGTCCCGCCCCCCCCTTCCCACCTAACCTTTAAAAAATATATCTTCCCGACTTCTGCACCACCCCAGAAGCCTCCCCCTATAAAAGACCCCAGCTCACAACCCAGGGCAGACATTCTCCCTACCCGAAAGGGAATCTGTCCATGTGTTCCTTTGCTAATAAACTCTATTCCGCTGGACTTTTATCTGTGTCCTGGTGCTTTCTCCCAATCAACCGGATTCATCCATCACCTACTTTTACTATATATGCCAGGCACAGTATTTTTGCTCAATACTTAACATGCATTACCTCATGCAATCCTCTGCTAGTGATGCAAAGTACTGTTACTATCCTATTTGTAAGTAAGAAAATGCAGACCTTTGACCAACATCCAGAGCCTAGTTCTCAACCAAGGCATACAGCCTCCCTTGAGCAACTTGAGGAGAGACTATGCTGGGTTTACTTACCAATAACCTACAGAGCAATGAGTACAGAGTTAAACCCTCAGTAAGTACTTCACCAAACACTGGTATTGATACTGTGGAAGAGGTAGAAGATTGCAGACGGCAGCCTTTTCTTTCCCACATTTTAGGGCAGTGTCACAAATGTATATGGTATATGCTAAAAAAGGTATAAAGCAGATTTCTTTTTTTTGGTCTTTTTGAGACAGGGTCTCCCTGTAGCTCCAGCTGTTCTGGAACTCACTATGTAGACCAAGCTGGCCTCGAACTCAAAGATCCACCTGCCTCTGCCTCCCAGGTGCTGGGATTAAAGGCGTGCGCCACCACGCCCAGCCAAAAAATTTTAAAACTTTAAGAAAGTTTTAAAAGAGGATGTCCCAAGCTTACCTGTCCCCGCATAACAGCAATCTGCTTATGGAACTGGCCCCTATCAAAACCAGGATCTTTCTGCAAGAGAAGGGCAGAAGGAAGACGGGACCTGTGTGATACCGCTCAGGAACCCATTTTTCTTCCCCACTTATGTTTCTAAGAATAATTTATTGAGAACACTAAATAAAGCAGTGGAAACAAGGAAGCAGTGGGCTGGGGAGTAACTAGAGTACTTCTTGCCCCACTTGGAAACTTTCTAATAAAGAAAATCTATATAAGGTTCGTAGGCTCAGAAGTCAACCAAGCACTCTAAGAACTCCCCTCTTCTATTGATAGAAACAGAAAACATCTCCAACTCCACAGCTCCATTTGAAAATGAGAGCTCTGTGGACACCCTGCAGCCACAGGATTCAAAGGACACAAACAAATGTGAGCCATCAGGACTGCCATTTCTCCTATGTAAAAGAGGATGACCTTGAACTTCTGATCGTCTTGCCTCCCCCTGCTGTGTGCTCTACCACAGAGTTTACATGGTATGGGAGATGGAACCCAGGGTTATGTCTATGTTAAGCAAGCACTCTACCAACTGAGTTACAGCCTCAACCTAGTGGTTGCCCTTTCTTTCAATCCATCCAAACCATGTCCAGCTGTCTGTATGTTGGAACCTTGCTCTGCTGGATGACTCAGGTCAGATAAGCGTAAGACATTCCTTCTTGGCTTATGTCAGGCAGAACCAATTGGAAAAATTATGAAGAGTTGTCTTTTTCCCAGGGCTAACCTTGAAGAGTTCATAGAGGTCCTCCTCCAAGTCCTTGACAAAGTTAGGGTCTGAAATCTTTGGAAGAATCAAATCTTTGATCTCCTGAGAGAATGGTACTTTCGCCTGGGGCAACCAGGCCCAGTAAAAAGGATCTGAAAAGAGAAGGCCAAAAGTAAAGATGGTGTTGGAAAAGTCCCTGCCCATGTGTCTTCTATCAAGGGACTTTCAAAGAGGGAACTCTTCTTCCCTGATACACAACAGATAACAAACAATAACAACCACTTAAAAGTGTTGCTGACCATAAGGCTTCGTGACTAGTAAATAGAGGACTCAGAGGACACATCACCTTCCAGGAACAGGCTTAACCATATATAACTACTTGCCACTGAGACATTCATATGATCCTAAAAATAAAGACAAGTGCTAAAAAGGGGGTCTATGGACTCCCTACTGGTATTTCTCCCCCTTTTCACAGGTTTTCAGTTATAATGGGGTAGGGAATGTCAACAAGAAAGATAACCCACTGCCAGCAATTTATCTGTAGAGACCCAAACAGAATAAATTATATAAAGATGAGTTCTCAGAATGAATGAGAAGAATATAAAGTGGAAATGAGAAAACTTATCATTATACAGGCTTTATTATTTATTTTGCAGAGCTAGGAATGTAACCCAGGGACCTTGCACATGCTAAGCAAGCATTTTACCACTGGGCTACAGCTCTCTATGCTTCTAGTTTCTCATCACCAACATATCCCTAGTGGGAACACTATATGGTAAAAATTATACTACTACTTTATTTTATGGAACAGTTGCTATGTGCTAGCCATTTTGTAAAAGGCCCTAGCTTCAATATTTCACTAATTCTTAGACCAATCCTGCTGTAGTAAGACACCTAGGAGTGAGCAAGAGTGGAGCCAGCCCAGTGCTCCTGACACTTACATGCCCTCCAGGAGTCAGGATGCTTCAGTGGGAAAGCCAGCCCATTGTCTATGGCAGCCACCTTGATAACAGGCTCCTTCACCACCACCCAATCTGTGTCCTGCAGAACAAAGACAGACTAATTTCTGGGGAGCCCACCTGCTAGGGCTCTTTAAAGTAGCAGCAAGACAACTCACCTCAACCCCTTCTTTCTTCAACTTATCTAGATCCAATCTGTAAACTGGTTTCTATATTGTTTTTTGAAACCAGTTCATTTGTAGCATCTCCTTCATTTGTGGCCTCTTTGAGGTTCTCAACTGTCCCTCTCTTACCTTCTCTCTGCCGCTGTCTATGTTTCTGTCTTTCTCTTTCTCTAGGATAGGGGCCTCACTCTGTTACTCAGGCTGGTCTTGAACTCATGGTCCTCCTGTCTCAGTCTCCTGAGTGCTAATTTTACAGGCTTTATAGATATGTACCACCATATACCGCTACAGTCATGTACATTTACCCAGAATTTGCCAGAGTCCTAGGTAAGAAAGATAAAGAAAAAAAAAAAAAAAAAAAAAAAAAAAAAAAAAGATAGCTGCAAGTCCTTCTCCCTAAGGTAAAGCAGTGAGAAGCTTGAGAATAGAAGAAAGAAAAATCTGTATCAGCCAGCCAAGGTCCTTTTATATGGACCTTAGCCCAGACACTCCTTCACTGGCAAAGATCATATTTTCAGAGAGAAAACAAAACCAAGGAAAATGACAGCTGGCTGTGTTTGAACAGTGTCGTCTGTATTCATGCCTTAGTGATATATGAAAAGGAAAAAGACAGAAGCTGAATGGAAAGAGTGAGCAGCCCATCCTTGCCAGCCCACATCAGTGACACTATCTACCTACATGGCTTCATGCTTCCTGCAGGCTCACTGGTGCCATTATAGAACAGGGACAGCAGTTTCAGGATTCCTGCATCACAATCCCCCACCCCATGCCTTCTTTCATTCCGGGTGTGTGTGTGTCTGTGTATCTGTGTGTGTGTGTATGTTTGTACTGTTATTTTTTTTTTCTGTGTGTGTGTGTGCTATTTTTTTTCTGTGTGTGTGTGTGTGTGTGTGTGTGTGTGTGTGTGTGCACTGTTATTTTTTTTTCAGTGTCAGAGATTAAACTGAGGACCTCACATGCTCTTATCATTGGCACGCAAAACCCTGGATACCGGGGCCCCAGAAAAGGGTAAGAGTAAGGGTAAAGGTAAGGATGAAGACAAGGGGGGGAGGGGAGGGGAGGGGAGGGAGGGGAGGGAGGAGAGAGATCAAGTTCACTTTTCTCCAAGTGCTTCCTACTTCTTTGAAAAGACACATAAGAACTGAGCATGGTGGTGCATGCCTTAATCTCAGTACTCAAGAGGCCGAGGCAGGAAGAGCACCAATTTGAGGCCAGCCCAGGCTACAGAGTGACACAGTGAGACCTTGTCCCTGAAAAAGAGAAAAAAAATGAAAGTGGTAGAGAAGAACAAGAGAACAAGAAAGGCGAGAAAGCAACTTTCCCTCTAGGCTTGTTTTCTGGGAAGCAGCTCTGTCTAGACTTCTGTTCTCTGAAATCAGAGTTATCTGTAAAAAACATTCCATTGTTTAAAAAGAAAAAAATCCCTGGGCCAAATGAAATTAAGCAAATTCATTTAATGTACTTCTCAGACCTTTACATGGTATTGTGCAACATGAAGCTCTAAGGAACAGAGTATGCAATATGTTCCAAATTTATCTGCTCCATTTTAAAATTTTTATTTTTAATTACATGTACATGTGTGGGTATGTGCATGTGAGTGCAGGTAGCACTAAGGTCAAAGGTGTTGGAGCCCCTAGGAGCTGGAGTTATAGGTAGTTGTGAGTTGCTCAACATGGGTTTTGGGAATTGAACTCAGGGTCTCTGTAAGAGCAGTACCTGCTCTTACCCACTAGGCCATTTCTCTAGTCCTTACTCCTTTTCTTTATACTATTCCAATTAATATCAGTCAGCAAGGTGTTCATTAAAACACACGTCAAAAAGAATATCCCAAATACTAACTTATGTGACCTAAATCTCTAATCTGTATGGTTCTACATTTTAAGGATTATTCCTCCTCATCTTCTTGAACTATAGACCAACCTCTTACCCGACAGCTAGAACTATCCATTGGACAGTCGTATTTGATCAGCCAGTTGTCATTGCCTCGATCTGTGAACAGAAATATTAAAGTTAGCAGAAATAACACTGGCTGATTTTCAATTTTAGAAATGATAGATTAGGTATTGGGGGCACTTACTTTAACCAACCCTCCAACTAAGATCAACTACAAAAGGCTGGATAAAATATTTTAAAAATTCTGGAAAGCACTGGTGTTTTTAACAAGACCATAAAAATTTGAGAGTCAATGTCATTTGTGTGGTGGCACATGCCTTTAACCCCAGCACTCAGAAGGCAGAGGCAGATATCTGTGAAATTGAGGCCAGCCTGGTCTACATGGCAAGTTCCAGGCTGTCTGGGGCTACAGGGAAACCCTGTCTCAAATAAACACATTAAAATAAAAATAAAATAAAATAAAAAAGAGAGAAGGAGGCAGGAAGATTAGAATTTTAGCTGGGTATGGTGGCACACACTTTAATCCCAGCGCGTGGGAGGCAGAGACAGGTGGATCTCTGTGAGATCAAGGTCAGCTTGGTCTACACAATGAGCTCCAGGCCAAGTGGGATTATAGGGAGACCCTGTTTCCAGCCCCCCCCCAAAAACCCCAAGATTTTTTTTAGAAAAATCTTCTGTAGCACAAAGGAAACAATTACTAGAGTGATGAGTGCCTAGAGAAGGGGGAAAAAACCTTTACTAACTATATACCAGAGAGGCAATACACACATACACATAAAATAAAAATAATAAATAAAATGTTTAAAAAAAATCAAACTGGTATTCTAGAACTGAAAAACTACAATCATGAAAATCAAAACTCAATGTATTATTACGAGTTTAACAACAGATCATCCTGAAGGCAGCAATTTGGAAGACGGTTCCACAAGAAAATAACCAAAATGAAACACATAAGAAAGAAAGAATATATGGATCTAACTAATAGCTAATATTTGGAGTCCTGGAAGGAAAGAGAAAACTGGGGCAAAAGTTATTATTTAAAGAGATAATCAGGACTGATCAGGACTTTTCCTAAACATAAAATATAAAACTATAAATTCAAGGAGCCCTGTGAATCCCTAGTAAGATAAATACAGAGAAAACCATTACTAGGTATGTCACAGCAAGATAAGAGAAGACATTAACTGCTAAAAGACATATTGCCAAGATTTAGTTCCATACCTAGTAAAACTACTCTTCAAAATGAAGACATAGGACTGGAGAGATGACTCTGTGGTTAAGAGCACTGGCTGCTCTTGCAGAGGACCGGGGTTCAATTCCCAGCACCCACAAGGTCACATAATTTTTGTTGTTATTTGTGTGAGGCAGGGTCTCTTTCACTATTTATGTAGTCCTAGCTGGCCTGTACTTGCTATGTAGTTCAAGGTTGGCCTTGAACTTGTGGGAACCCTCTAGCCTCTGTTTCCTGAATGCTGGGATTACAGGTGTGCACCAACCACACTTTACTTAGCCACCTACATTTTGACAATGTCAAAACATACATTAGAAAAAAAGCCTCTGCAACAAATGGTGCTTGAAAACTATAGCCATATGTAAAAGAATGATATTAGATCTGTATCTCTTTTTGTTGGTTTTTGTTTTCTTGAGACAGGGTCTTACTATGTACCACTGGCTGGTATGGAACTCACTACATAGACCAGGCTGGCCAGGCTGACCTCGAACTCAGAGAGATTCATTTGCCTCTGCCTCCCAAGTGCTGGGATTAAAGGAGTGCACCACCATGGCCAGCTGATCCATATCTCTTTTCATGCACAAATCAATTCAAAATGACCTGAAGACCTTAATGTTAAAACCTGAAACTTTGAAACTGGTAAAGGAAAACAAGTAAAACACTTCAAGATGTAGGCACAAGCAAGAACTTCCTGAAAAGGATTCTAATAGCATAGGATACAATCCTAAGAACTGACACATGGAATTAACATGAAACTAAAAAGCTTCTGCACAGGGGCTGGAGAAATGGCTTGCAAAGGACCCACCTTTGGTTCCTACCACCCACAAGACGGCTAACAACTATCTGTAACTCCAGTTCCGGGGGGATCTGATGCCCTCTTCTGACCACTGCCAGCACTGTGTGATATGGGTACACTAACCTACACGCAGGCAAAACGTCCACAAACATAAAATAAAAATAATACATAAAAAAATTTTAGCTGGGTATGGTGGCACACACTTTAATCCCAGCGCGTGGGAGGCACAAAGCCAGTCTGTCTCAAAACACCAGAATAAAAAGAAGAAAGTTGAGACCAAAATATCAGCAAGAAACAAGACTTGTAAAAAAAGAATCAAACAGGGCTGGAGAGATGGCTCAGTGGTTAAGAACACTGGTTGTTCTTGCAGAAGACCCAAGTTCGAATCCCGGCACCCACATGGCAGCTAACAACTGTCTGTAACTCCAGTTCCAGGGGATTTGACCACCTCTTCTGACTTCCGCAGGCACTGCACAACACTGGTGCACTCACCTACATGCAGGCAATACACACATACACATAAAATACAGATACTGAGTCTACAAATATTTGTTGGCTTCTGTGGCTAACATTTCTGTGGCTGACATTTTGTTAAAACCTTCACATATATTAAACAGAAATCTTCAACAGGATGTGGTGGCACATGCCTTTAACCCCAGCACTCAGAAGGCAGAGGCAGATATCTGTGAAATTGAGGCCAGCCTGGTCTACATGGCAAGTTCCAGGCTGTCTGGGGCTACAGGGAAACCCTGTCTCAAATAAACACATTAAAATAAAAATAAAATAAAATAAAAAAGAGAGAAGGAGGCAGGAAGATTAGAATTTTAGCTGGGTATGGTGGCACACACTTTAATCCCAGCGCGTGGGAGGCAGAGACAGGTGGATCTCTGTGAGATCAAGGTCAGCTTGGTCTACACAATGAGCTCCAGGCCAAGTGGGATTATAGGGAGACCCTGTTTCCAGCCCCCCCCCAAAAACCCCAAGATTTTTTTTAGAAAAATCTTCTGTAGCACAAAGGAAACAATTACTAGAGTGATGAGTGCCTAGAGAAGGGGGAAAAAACCTTTACTAACTATATACCAGAGAGGGGATTAATATCTAGAATATATAAAGAACTGCAAAAAAAAAAAAATTTAAACACCAAAAATATCAGAAATAAAATACCAGAAATCAATCAAGTGAACAGACAGTTCTCACAAGAAGAAATATAAATAGCCAATTAATCTTTGGAAAAGTGTTCAACATTTTTAGCCAACAGGGAAATGCAAACTAAAAGTGCTTGGAGATTCCATTTGAACAGCATGAATAGCTGGCATCAAGAAAACACACAAGTTGGCATGGGGACACAATGCCTTTAATTCTAGCACTTGGCACTTAGAAGGCAGAGGCAAGCCTGATCTACATAGTGAGTTCAAGGCCAGCTGGGTCGACAAGGAGACCCTGTCTCAAAAAGATGAAAGAAGAAAGAAAGAAAGAAAGAAAGAAAGAAAGAAAGAAAGAAAGAAAGAAAGGAAGGAAGGAAGGAAGGAAGGAAGGAAGGAAGGAAGGAAGGAAGGAAGGAAGGAAGGAAGGAAGGAAGGAAGGAAGGAAGGAAGGAAGGAAGGAAGGAAGGAAGGAAGGAAGGAAGGAAGGAAGGAAGGAAGGAAGGAAGGAAGGAAGGAAGGAAGGAAGGAAGGAAGGAAGGAAGGAAGGAAGGAAGGAAGGAAGGAAGGAAGGAAGGAAGGAAGGAAGGAAGGAAGGAAGGAAGGAAGGAAGGAAGGAAGGAAGGAAGGAAGGAAGGAAGGAAGGAAGGAAGGAAGGAAGGAAGGAAGGAAGGAAGGAAGGAAGGAAGGAAGGAAGGAAGGAAGGAAGGAAGGAAGGAAGGAAGGAAAGAGCTGGCGAAAGAAAGAAAGAAAGAAAGAAAGAAAGAAAGAAAGAAAGAAAGAAAAAGAAAGAAGGCAGGCAAGCAAACAACAAATGAGATGAGGATGTGGGGAAAAAGAAAACACTTAACTTAAACATACAGTGCTGGCAGGAATATAAACTGGTGTAGCCACTATGGGTGGAAATCAGTATGGAGGTTTATTTAAAACTGAAAACTGGGCTGGAGAGACGGCTCAGCAGTTAAGAGCACTCGGTCCTCTTACAAAGGACCCAAGTTCAGCTCCCAGCACCCACACAGTGGCTAACAACCATCCTTAACACCAGTTCCAAGGAATCCAATGCCCTTTTCTGGTCTCTGCTGGCACTGAATGCATGTGGTGCTCTACATATAAAAGGCAAGACATTCACACACATAAAATAAAAATAAATTTAAAAAATTTAATCCTGGCTGGGCGTGGTGGTGCATGCCTTTAATCCCAGCACTCGGGAGGCAGAGGCAGGTGGATCTCTGTGAGTTCAAGGCCAGCCTGGTCCACATAGTGAGTTCCAGGACAGCTGGGGCTACAGGGAGAGAGACCCTGTTGAACAAAGACCAAAATAAAAAAATAAATAAATAAAAAATTTAACCCTAGCACTTGGGAGGCAGAAGCAGGAGGATCTCAGATCGAGGCCTGCCTGATCTCTGTTCCAAGTCATCTGGGGCTACAGGGAGAGAGACCCTGCCCAAGCATGAGGATCTGAGTTTGACTCAGGATCACCCATATAAAAAGCTGAACATGGCTGTCTGTGCCTCCAGCATTAGGGGTGGAGACCAGCTGAGAAAAAGGCAAGTTTCCAGTTTAGTGAGAATGTAATAAGGTAATCTGAGGGTGAGGGAGGAAGTCACCCAATATCCTACTATAGCCTCCGCATGTTGGTCCAAGGGTACACACACCTGCACTCATGTATGCAACACATATACACACACGCACAACAAATACAAAATAAAAAAAATATAATTAAAAAACTAAAAATATTGGGGAGGCAGAGGCAAGCAGAGCTCTGTGAGTTCAAGGCCAGCCTGGTCTACATAGCAAGTTCTAGGCCAGCTGGGACTACAAGGAGACCCCATCTCAAAATAAATAAATAAAAAATTTTAAAAAACACTAAAAATAGAACCACCAAACAAGCCAACTCTGGGTATATACCTGAAGGACTCTAGATCAA